ATGACTTACAAACTGATACATGTCCTACAAACTGATACATAACTTACAAACTGATGCATGTCCTACAGACTGATACATAACTTACAAACTGATGCATGTCCTACAGACTGATACATAACTTACAAACTGATGCATGTCCTACAGACTGATACATAACTTACAAACTGATGCATGTCCTACAGACTGATACATAACTTACAAACTGATGCATGTCCTACAGCCTGATACATAACTTACAAACTGATACATGTCCTACAGACTGATACATAACTTACAAACTGATACATGTCCTACAAACTGATACATAACTTACAAACTGATGCATATCCTACAGCCTGATACATAACTTACAAACTGATGCATGTCCTACAGACTGATACATAACTTACAAACTGATACATGTCCTACAGACTGATACATAACTTACAAACTGATGCATGTCCTACAGCCTGATACATAACTTACAAACTGATGCATGTCCTACAGACTGATACATAACTTCTACAAACTGATGATACATAACTTACAAACTGATACATGTCCTACAGCCTGATACATAACTTACAAACTGATGCATGTGTAACAGACTGATACATAACTTACAAACTGATACATGTCCTACAGACTGATACATAACTTACAAACTGATACATGTCCTACAGACTGATACATAACTTACAAACTGATACATGTGTAACAGACTGATGCATGCCTTACAGGCCGACACATGAGATACAGACTGATACATGACTTACATGTTCTACACTTGGGTGCAAGACACACTAAGAGGTGTGACAGTTACCATAACTGACAAACCAAGACATAATCAGGGCATCTGAGATTCGAACCTACGACCAGCAAATCCTGGTACAATAAAGGGACAGAAGTCCGCACCGCGTTCCCAATCGCATTAAAGTCGATCTTAAATGTCGTTTCCGCTACAAAAAGACTATCGCGGGCGCTAACAGCTGGGCCCCGTTTCTTAATACGATCTCAGTGGAACGACGATGGTAAGCCGTTCTTAAAGTATCGGAGTTAGAGCCATCTTAGCGTTAAGATCGCTTTGTAGAACGGAGCCCTGATCATAGTGAGACAGTGCACTCTCACTTAGCGATTTGTAAGTGCACTGACGACGATTGTGAGGTGCGTGGAGTGGGATTAAGGTGTCATGAAGACATAGGATTTTAATATTGAATGTGATCTGACAGCAGCGGAAATTTCATGTCTACACTATAGACTCAATCCCATTACAAGACGACTGTGGATCAAGGGTTCGCCAATCACTGTAATAGGCTGCTATAATGCCGTGAGTACATTTGTTTTACGGCACGGTCAGCGATATATACATATGCTTATATAGCGATGTATGTATGCTTAGACAGACAGACAGACACAGACAGACAGACAGACAGACAGATAGATAGATAGATAGATAGATAGATAGATAGATAGATAGATAGATAGATAGATAGATAGCCCGTGCAAACTGATACATATATTATATGTCCCCATTCACATATTTATGCCAGATGACGGAGAGTAACATACCGTATTAACATCAGGAAGCCCCATATATACACATAGAACTTAGTTAAGCACCCCCTGACATATCTCACGGTTGAATGAGCCCCGACCTTAACCCTTTTAACTGGAGCATATCTGGAACATGATTGGTCGTCGTGTGCAACAAAGGGATCCTCCTGAACAGAGCCTGGCCCAACTGGAAGCTGCTTTACACGAAGAAAGATGTAGACTGTCCCTTCAGAGGATCAGGAGGCTGACAGGGTTATAAGGAGGAGAGAGCTGGCTGTCATACAGTCACATGAAGGTTACACTCGGTATTGACCTTGAATCGTGTAAGACACGCAAAATAACATTTTGAATATTCACATTCGCCAATAAATTCAACATTAAACATTCCAGGGCCATCGTTGTACAGACATGGTTTTGTATGAAAATCACCATAATTGTCATCATAAAATCAACATGGATTCCAATCATTTTGTCGTTTCTTATGAGTCAAAGGACCATACGGGTCATAAAATCGTGGTCACCTTGAGAAGTTTTAGTTACGTGTTGAAAACCTATCATTGCAAAAATACATGGGGTGCTTAATTAATTTTTAGTGTATACATTAATTGGCACAGACGTGCCTGTCTTTGACAGGTACTTGTGTCAAACTACACACGTCTATCGACATATTGATCACTACAGTATTGGATGATCGTTGCTGAAGATGGCGAGATATGATTACTACCAGCACAAACTGTTTATATTGATGGGATGAATGGTTTTGTTTGCGTGTGATACCCGGCATTGCGATGTCAGCCACCCTGACGACTCAAACGGCTTCACCGCCCAGATGACACGGTCTGGTTCAGTGGCTGACGGCTATAGGTGTTTGTTGTCATGCGGGAAGTAGGGTTGTCACAACAATTATGTCATCATATGATAGTTATGTTTGGTATTTTATGGATCGCTGGAAAATTTTCAGCTGTATCGCATATATACTCGGCGTCATTCTATCTACCTGTCTATTCTTCTACCTATCCACCGGTCTATTCGTCTGCCTGTCCTCCTGTCTTCCCGGCTTTCTATCCACTTGTCTCTCCGGCTTTCTATCCACCTGTCTGTCTGGCTTTCTATCCACCTGTCTAATCGTCTGCCTATCCACCTGTCTGTCCGGCTTTCTATCCGTCTGCCTATCGACCTGTCTATCCGTCTGCCTATCCACCTGTCTGTCCGGCTTTCTATCCACCTGTCTATCCGTCTGCCTATCCACCTGTCTAACCGTCTGCCTATTCACCTGTCTATCCGGCTTTCTATCCACCTGTCTATCCGTCTGCCTATCCACCTGTCTGTCTGGCTTTCTATCCACCTGTCTATCCGTCTGCCTATCCCCCTGTCTAACCGTCTGCCTATTCACCTCTCTGTCCGGCTTTCTATCCACCTGTCTATCCGTCTGCCTATCCACCTGTCTAACCGTCTGCCTATTCACCTCTCTGTCCGGCTTTCTATCCACCTGTCTATCCGTCTACCTATCCCCCTGTCTGTCAGGCTTTCTATCCACCTGTCTATCCGTCTACCTATCCCCCTGTCTGTCAGGCTTTCTATCCACCTGTCTATCAGTCTACCTATCCACTTGTCTATCCGTCTGCCTATCTGCCTGTCTAACCGTCTGCCTATCCACCTGTCTGTCAGGCTTTCTATCCACCTGTCTGCCCTGCTTTCTATCCACCTGTCTAACCGTCTGCCTATCCACCTCTCTAACCGTCTGCCTATCCACCTGCCTATCCACATGTCTATCCGTCTGCCTATCCACCTGTCTATCCGTCTGCCTATCCACCTGGCGGTCAGGCCTCCTATCCACCTGTATATCCGTCTGTCTATTCATCTGCCTATCTGTCTGTGTATATGTATGCCACCTGTCTATCCGTATTCCTATCTGTGTGCCTGTCTATCCGTCTGCCTATCCAGTATTTATTTTAGCTACCTATTCACATGCCTATGTAGCTACTTATTCGCCCTTCTAACTACCTATCCACCTGTCTATCCTACGATGTTATGCTAACTTTATATATAACCTGCTCTCATATAAAGCTACGGGCATGCATACATTACTGATTCTATCATCTCGCAATGTGCAGTGAGGCAATGAAACGAGCCACGCCCTTGCAGTGATTAGTCACCCGTGTTTCAACAATGATATTCGACTGAGGGTAATATTTATTTTTGTTATGAATGTACTTCATATCGAAATTCTTTAAGGTTGTTAAAATGTTAATGCTAGTTCTTCAAAATAGTGATGTACACGGTTGCTGCTTGTGAGAACTGATGTAAACTGCTATTCGTATTCATTAATGCAGACTTAGACCATTGCGTGTATGTAAGGGCGCGCTGTACATGGAATCGGTCATGCTCGTGGCTACGGGCGATTATTACAATATACAATCTCACAGCATATCGTACATTAAAACAGAACCAATATTACACAACTCCTTTGTGAATCGTGTCGCACGTCTTTGGCAACTTGCTCCAAATATACACGCTCATTAAGCGATGTACACTAGGTGTGTATTGAGTCTTCACAATGTAATGTATTCGTGAGTGTGTGTTGGGGGTGGGGTGGTGGTGGGGTGCGCTACGATTATACCTATAGGCAGCGCAAGTCCTAACATAATATAGACAGACAGACGGACAGTTTATTTGAGTCTCATCTCATATATATAACAATATAAGGAATATACGAGCCGCTCTATAAAAGTAACGAGAGACACACACACACACACACACACACACACACACACACACACACACACACACACACACACACACACAAGAACATATATATATGCCATAAAAATGCATAAACATATTTGAAAATAAATACATACAGAATACTTAAAAGGTAAAACATAGGCATGCAATGATATATGATGATGCAAATTGCTGCTGGGCGAAAACAACCTGTACCCATCAACGTTTGATGGAGACTGCAATAAAACAAACATAAAAGGTTAATCGATGGTGATGAATTTGATTCGGATTTGCCTTGTTTCGGCGTCATTGCCTCATAACGTCTTCGATAACGTTTGTTATCATTTGGTAAAATACAGTTTTTAGTTGACTTCTTTCTTTTGTTAGTCAATTGTATTTAAAAATATATGTATTGCATTATAAATCATAGGAAACAATCGCACGTATGTACATGTTGTTACTTTTATCAATATAGTATTTCATTTTCGTCATTTGTTTTTACCGTATTAATAAATATCAGTAATGCATATTTAGAAAGCAGGCTTGGTGAACCCGACAATATACTCGATGTTCAGACTGTAAAGTAATGACATTAAAGTAATAGCTTTGGAAATTTTATTTTCGCCGAATCCGATTTCGAGAAATACATTTATGAGATACGAACTGGCTACTGTTTGGAGCAAGCGCCCCCACAGCAAAGCTCATGATGTCACGCGCGTGAACGCTACTTCCTGTGACGTCACAACAGCACTCGCCTGCCATTTTTCAGTGAGAAAGGCACATCTATCGTACCAGCCAGGTATTCTACTTTCAGGCCAGGATTGGTTGGCCTTTCGGACCTCGTTTTACCATGACAGAAAGTGACAATGTAAACAGAAGCAATTTAACACTATTGTGTAGCTTCTAACACCTTATTTCCCTGACAGTCCCTCAATTTTCCACACCGATTTTTACCGGAGAGTGCATGCTTCACATTGAAAAGTGCATCATCGGATCACATAAACTTCGATTTAGGAGAAAATCCAAGGCGGATTGCAAAGGGCAGTTACAGGTAATTATTCATTATCCGAGAGACCAAATCTATTCAGTTAGTCTAAAGTGAACGTTTATGCCGCTGTCAGGTGAACGTTAGCACAAGAAATATCAACAGCCAGCGTTGTTGAGTTGTTCGCTGTCACATGGCAATTCTTTTTATTTCATAACTTCATATATTGTCATGCTTTTTTCCCAGTCCACCTACACAGGTACACTATTATCTGAAAGTATAACTGCCGAACTGCCTACATAATTCCTTTGGAAAATAATGAAACGTTCGCTCAGTGCATGATCGTAACGTGAGATTTTAAATGTCAACTTGAGATTTTATGTTTACTTCACTCCAGTGTAAGTGCTTTGCCATGTGTTTACATGCACAAGTTGATGACCTGAAGATACCACCCTTGAATTAACCTGGTCATGTTTGTGATAATTCACCTCAATGCCATATTTGAATTGGAATAACAAATAAAAGCATCGTGACAAGTGATATTTCCCCTCAGGTTTTCTCAAAATCATGGTGATGGAGCATCATCATAGGTTATTTACTGACCGAACTCCCCTTAATGCATACAGTATACTTGTAACATAATCTTAGTATTATAATGTCGGTGTGGGGATGGATGGGTCATCTATCAAATGGACCCGCGCCAATATACAGACAAGGGAGTTTGGTAAAATCAGATATCCACATTTGTCTCATCCAGATGGATAAATTGTCCGGGCAGGGCAACATGATAAGGAAAAAGAGTTTGTGTTTTATACTTGTATACCTGTATTATTTTGTTGTTAATAGTTAGCCAGCCCCAGTCATTTGACTTGATTTTCATGAACCAAAATTTGTGACTATTAATCCAGATTGTTCATTAGAGTCAGATGATGATCAATCTTTTTGTACAACACTGCTTGTACATGTTTTGAGAGGCTTCCCTTAAGGTTGGGGTAGTTTAGTGATTGCAATAAATATTCGTTTAGATTTCAATCTGGTAGTGGTAAACCCTGAGCTCTAATCAGACTTACTGATCAGTGATGATTAAACTATTACTCTCGATAGTTTTACTATTAAGTACTTTTCAACCTGCTGTTAGGATATGGCATCTTAAGACATTACAATTCGCCATGCAGTTTTGTCGCAAAGTTGCATCTCCACCTCCAGCTTTATTACCACTTGTTCATTAAAGTCATTTTGGAAATAATAATATAATGATAATAATAAATAATGTACTTATATAACGCTGCAATCCAGACAGATATGCCTGCTCAAGGCGCTACAAGGGTATTGTCAGATAAAAGGCAGGAAGTGTTCACTGGATTTAAATGTCACTATGATACTTGGAGAACATATGGGTCTTCAGTCTTGATTTGAATAGTAAGTAAGTCATTAATGTTTCTATAGCCCCAAATTGTGACGCTGACCGAGTGAAACCTCATTTCTATTTGAATAAACTGCCGTTATAGTTTTATAGATTATGAACTCATTGTAATGTCCATCTGAAAAGTGGGATTTCCACATGAACAGTGTACAAACAAAGGAGATTTCACTCTATGTGAACTATTATGAGCTGAGCATACCAGACAAAGAAATTTTACCAGACTTGGTCTTTGGACATTTGTGGACTGAACATTTGTAATTACATTTGTGTCTCACTTTTGCCTCTTGTCTGAAGCATCAGTCAAGGAAAATTCTCTTCGGTCTTGTCATTTCAGGAAATATTAGTCCACCAAATAACACCAAAATCTACTGAAAATGTCCCCGATAGCTAAGTTTGAACATGCAGACTCAAAAGATTTTGGCACAGGCTGCATTTATTGTTTGAAGGGAGAAAGATGGTCAAGGATAAATGCTTGCAATTGCCATTCCCACCCCTTGTGCAATACCGTATTCAGAGTGAAAAACATGAGTCAGATGGGAACTAGAATAACTATTTCCCTTGCATTGTACAGAATGTGGAAATTTTGGATACTATATTAGGTATATGATAAAGTATTTGAAGAGTGCCAGTGGAAACCTTTATTCAACACGTGACATGATCACACTAGGTTGAGGGGAACTAGGATCAAGCCATTTTTTAATCCTAGAATGTGTGATTCAATTGATATAAAATCCACATGGTTTGTCTGTATATAGTTTGATGTATATCAAACTAGCACTCAGTGACTAGCATAACTGTACATGAGAATGTCTCAGTTTTGCACATGGTACTAATTAGGTCGTCTTGATCCAGTCTTATAATGTGAACCAGGCAATGTGGTATGGTCCACCCTTAAATATACATTATCTTCCAGGTGAGAATGTCTATGTTATTTCATTGTCAAGCTTCATTAATACTGATGTCTCTGAATTCTCCAGTGTGTGTAATTTGACAAGAAGAATTATGAATGAAATGAATAGTGTTTTGAAGAGTAACACAAACACTAGATGCCTAAACCTGAATAATGTCCAATAGGATTGCCAGGAATGCTGACTACTTCCTGGTTCCAGGATATTGTGAGATACAACATAGATGATTGCACTTAGGATATCACTTTCGTTATCACTGACTGTTTGGTCAGGAAGCATTGTGTGTTGTGGATTCTCAGTTAATGCTATTGCTGTTAAACATGTGATTGCTTATACTTGTGATGAAAGAGAAGATCCACTCCATTTCATCCATTGGCATAAAAAACACTTCAATGAAGAGAAGTGAGTAATCGTTTGTAATGTCTGTCTTCAGGATTATTAGCAAAGGTTATGTAATATTGACCAATGTCCATCATGGTTAACTGATCTCATAACATGATTACCTGAGTTGACATTAATTGTGGAAGATTCATTACCATGCTTACAAAAGTATTTGTACACAAATGTACAAGTGTTTTATCATTCTTGTTACACACGGCAGTTTTCAATACCTGTTATTGAAGAGTTTTGTAGCACGGACTATGGCTCTACAGGAATTTTATGTCATAGACCTACTCACTTGAATAAAATAATACGATTATCCCATCATTTCAGGTGAAAGAAATTGCCTTTTACAATTCGATATACAGTACCTTTGCTATCACTTCATGGCAGATACAGGTAGCATGCATCAATGAAAGCATAAGTGGTAAAAGTATGTCAGGTTATCAGGAAACCTGTCATAGATACCTTCATTAATGGTTTGGCACTTTCAAATGCTATTATGAACTTAAAATAGACTCTTGCTGTCTGCCTGCCAGTTAAAGGAGAATACGAACGAAAACAAAACTTTTGATATATTGTAAAGGACGTTCTAAAAGTCACATCCATGATTAAAATTGAACAAGAAGTTTGTAAATAGCAATAAAAAAACATACTCGTATTTCTGCCTATTACGGAAACACCCGACAGTTAATGAGCAAAGGGGGTATCACGTGACATGACGTCATATGTGCCGGTTGCTGATGGCTTCCTCTTTGATTTTACCTCACAACTTAACAGTGTCCATGGATTCTGAAGCAGTAAAAGATGTTCCTGATGTCATTTCTGAAACGAATGTTAGACCGTATCATTACGATCCGATTTTACTTCTTGCAAGACAATCTTCCAGTGAAAATGCAGAAAAAGAATCAAGCGAAACGGAGGCACCGCTTGAGTTCAAAATAAATGTTAAAATAGACCATATAATTTAATATGAATACTATTTGTCAGCAAAATGTGATACAGTTCCAACCAGCAAACCCACCCCTATATAAATATGACCAGTCCCTAAGAATTATTTTTTTTGAAATGTGATTGCAGTTCCTTTTGTGTCAAACGGGTGACTGTAGAGTGTCTGGGATTTAAAAACAAAATAAATATGCTTCAGACAGGGGAAAATAGAAATTATCTGCTGCAAAAATTACACTGGAATTATTTTGTTGAAAATTTTTTAGGATCCTAGTTCTCATTAATAACGTAGCAAGTCTCCACACAAAATCCCAGCCTGGTCGAGCAGAGATAATATTTGCGACGCAGGTAAGTTATTCCCCAAAACTGGTGAATTATAAAATACTAGTCAGGACCATGGATTTTTCCCTAGTTATTGGTTATGGAAATAGTTATGGTACTCGGTCATAGCCTTAGAATGACATCTTATCAGCCAATGAGAATACAGAACAACTTTCACGGGCACACACTACTGACAAATATATATGGCGAGTCTGATGCCAACGTGGGACAAAATGGAAAACAGTGAAAGCAACAAATACTTCATGATTTGCTGTTGTATTCGGCAATGTTTCGGGTAGACTGCAGAATTTAGGGCTCAAAACTGAAAAGAAGGTTATAGCGAAAACATTTTCAAGCTCATGTGAAATCTTTTACTGATTTTGATAATAAATTTATTTATTACCCGCGTGGTCAACGTATGGGTAGTTGTATACTAATCTCGTACGTCACACGAGTGTCGTATCGCGTTGACCTGTGTCGTATCGCGTTGACCTGTGTCGTATCGACTTGACCTGAGATTCTAACGATTTGATTGGATAACCGATGACCTCTCAATTAGGTCTCATTCTGACGTAACTATTTTTTCATTCATAACAAACACGTGAATTCATTCATTCTACAACTTAAATGCATTGTGGGAATGTAAACATCGCGAACGTGAGTGAGTCGAACTGAGACATTATATCCGTCGAAAAACGTAAACGCAATATTACCACCAGTGATGTTAGCCGAATGAAGCAACTGCAAACCAAGAAACGGGGTGATACGGAGTAGTTTACTGTAGGAGGCTGTACGAGGCGATGGCAACTGACATGCATCGTGACGTCGGTTACCAAGGCAGTGCTGTCATTACATTGTGACGTCATGCAAATATTGTACTACAGTACAAAACTCTACCGCAACCTCTTTATGAAACCGGTTTCGGTTTGAAACCAAAATATTAACAAAAATACGCTATTTTGTCAATTTAATGCATGTAAGACGTGGGCAATAAATAATATATTACTTCGGTTCATTACATACGAAGTATAATGAAACTGGTGACCTTCCTATAAAGATCTGACCTCGCCACCGGGTCAGATACC